AGTTACTAACATTAACACACTTTTATTCCGATGCCTCCCAGACTCTGAGCCATTCCAGACAACTGGATCCTCCCCAGGATCTCTTTGCAGCCCAGGAACTAAGCAGCGGGTACACAGAATAGGAGATCTCTGAGACCGCAACACAAAAATTATGGAGCATAAATTATTCAATTACTGAGAACAGCACCAGGCCAACAGTTAGTGTCTTAATAGGTATTAACATGTTGTAGTAGGAGCTCATATTAGCTAGTCTTAATAGTCTTTTTAAATGACAGCATTCCGGAGAGTCCTAACAGGTAGCAGGAGCTCAGTGGCTGAGTACTCTGAGGACTCAGCCACACCCTCAGGAAGTCTTCTACCTGTTGAGGCGGCAAGCCCATAAATAGAGTACAACCCTTTGCCACATATGAAGGATAGAGTGGTTGCCGGTTGGGTAGGGATTTCCGATCCCCTCTGCACATCACATGATGCTCTCATCTGCCCCGGGATGTTGTTTCACGGTCGGGGCCCTCATTTCTATTTGCTGGCAACTGTATTCTTTCCTAGTGTGACTGCTTAAAATTGAGTGCAGAATCTCTACCTGCCGTATTGCTAAGGAAGCTTTATTTCATAATTTCCACAAAGCGCCTTCTGCCACTTTTATTCTCTGTGGGATTGGTGTCTCGATTCTTAAAGTGCTTGCAACATGCTCTCTTTGTCCTTTGGACCACTGCCCTGTGTTGCCCATTTGTATTCTTTTTCTGCTAGCCTTGTTACCAGTAGGATGTTTGGGGTATTTTTAATTCTTTCCCTTCTGTTAGAAAGAGCCATTTCCTATTTGGGGTTGGAAGATAGATGTCTTTATGCTTAGACCACTTGAGGGCTGAAGCTGAGAGTTTCCTTTAAAATCATCACAAGCTCCAAATCATGGGGGCGACTTATCCTCATCTGCAAAATCTATGAAGCTGTCATCAGAAATTTGGCTTTGCCGTTTTCCAACACAGTTGTCCTTCTCTAAATTGGAGTTTCTCAACTTGAGCACTGTTGACCTGGATAATTCTTTGTTGTGGGGGCCGTCCTGGCATTCAGCAGCATCTTTGGCCTCAACCCATAAATGCCCGTAGAAATCGCCCAATTTTAACAACTGAAAAATGTCTGCATTTTTGCCTGATGTCCCGGTTGGAGGGCCAGCTCACCCCAGGTCGAGAACTACTCTCAATAATAAGCATATGAAAGTAGGTTGACAAATAAATTATAAAACGTGTTGATAAGCAAACACATTCATGATAAGGACAACAGACAGCTGCAGCGCACTTAATGTGGGCGAGGTGCTGTTTTAAGAGCTCTTTTCGTATAAATAGCCTCATCGAGTGAGGTACCATTGTACCATAATTACCCACACTTTATAGATGGGGAAACTGAGGCTCAGGGAGGTCACACACCTGCCAGCTGTCTGATTAAGAATCTGAGCCCAAGCAGTGTGACCCCCTGGAGTCCATGACTTGAACTTACTGGGCTGCTCTTTCTACAAAAGTTACTGGATTAGATATCTACCTGGCATAGCATGGGATGTTACCTTTGGTAGGTGCTTAGTAAATATTTAAGTGAATAAATGAGTAGCTATCAATCCAGGAAATTACTTAATATTTTAAATCAGTATTGAATAGATTCCTTACTTTAGTTCATATAAATTTTAAAAATGTACTTTTGTTTGAATACAGTCAACTAAATATCATGCATTAGAGCAAAGCAGAGGTTCTCTTAGCATTTCTAAGCTCATTCACAGGTTTCTCAAGGTAACCTCTAAAGCTTCTGTTTGTGTGCTAGTGCAATTTTGTAGTATGTCAGAACGAAGACTGGTCAAATTCCTGATGAAATTAAGCAAAGCATTTCCCTGTGTCCCATAATAAGGAAAGAAAATTCCTCCTCTTTCCTAAACTAGGTATGCATTCTGATGCACTGTTTGATAGTTTGACCTAGCTTTGGATCTTATTAAATATTGAACATCTTTAACTAACAGGAAAGCACGTTAGCCGATCAATCTTTAGCTTTCCATAGTTGGCTTCCTATAATAGGTAAGAGGGCCGCGATTTAAAGTTTGTTATAAATGCATTACATCTGATTTGTATCTAAGTGAGAAGCCTGTATTTTATATGATAAAATATAAAAACATAATTTTTGTGTTAAAAACTTTTTTAATATGTACTTCTATAAGGCCAAAGAATGGAAACTTCTAGAATGTTAATTAAAATAATAAAATATAACCATAAAATAGCAAGAAGACAACTTGATCACAATAGCTTCATCTTGTTGGTTCTCTTAAAACCCCTATTATGAAGTATAAGAATTTTACTCAATGAGACCATAAGTAATATATTTTCTTGTTTAGATGATCTTTTAAGAAATTTGAGTGGCTTCTTTTGTTCCCTTAATTCTGAGAAGTCTGTTATTGTAAGGACAATATTAGAAAATATCTCAAGTCTCAATTTTCTTGGAAAAACATCTTCCAGATAACATGTGATTAAAAGCCTAACAGTACCAATACATTTTATCTTCTTCAGTGATAGTAAGGGATATTTTTGTGTCTTGATCTAGGGTGTTTGCTTATAGCACTAGATTTCATGATTTCTATAATGAGTACTTACCACATAGTAAGTAATCTGTAATTTACCTCCCATGCAGTCTTGACACAGAGCATTACTTTGCTATTAGCATTTAGAGTGGGTCCTCCTGCTACCTCAATTAATTTATGGGTTACTCTACATACCTGGATATAAAGTAGCTGATTTCTAGGGGAATAGAAGATCATTCGGGCATTCTTTATAAACTTGGAATTTTGGAAAACTGAAGAAAACAAAACTAAGCAAAATAGCACTCCTCAGAAAATAGTGACTTTTTTAAGGTTTGGAGTTGTTCTCTCCCAGTTGATGGCCAGAATCTGTGTTCCCCCACTTCAAGCTCTGAATTGCCAAAAACAATTCTACCTACAGAGTTAGGCTTATTATGTTTTATGAAGTAACCTTCAGAAAAGAGCGTCATTGACGATTATATAGAGCTAGCAGAGAGCTAAGCTTTCATTAGCACATAAATACCATTCAGTTTACTTGAAGGTCAAAATGATGACCAGTCCAGAACACATTTTTCCATGACCTGGAGTTGTTTTTTTGTTGTTGTTTTTTTTTTAAGTTGCCAACATGAGTAGAAAGTCAATAATCCTGATTCTAAGAGTATCTTTCCCTTTAAAATGGTTATATCACCAAGTAGTTTATTCTTCCACAAAAATCTGGCCCATGTATATTGCCCCCTCTTACCAGATTAATACTATATGTAATCTGTATTTAATGTCTTAAAAGAACCGTTTACAAGATGCTGAAAGGCACAGCTATTATTTCATGTTGTATCTACTTTACAAAAGTGGGGAAAGATTGTAGCTAAAGGGCCACTCCTTCCGGCAGGCCTCTAAATGGCTGTAGATGTTACTTTAGATTTCATGGTTATGATAATGAGCTTGTTATAATGGAGAGACATTGAGATTCAATCTCGCTACAGATTAAGGAAGAACGAAAGGAGGAATCCCTATATGTCTTCCTCAGTCACTGAATCCGAAAACATAAGATCTGAGAGATGTTTAAGTAATGAAGGGAACCAAACCTGGAAGATAGGACTCATTTGTAAAACAAAAGAAAAAGGCAGTTACTTTTTAACGATCATCTCAATAATAGAACTATGCATGTTGTGGGGAGAGGTGGATTTTGGGCCATAAACCATATTCCAAATTATTGGATAGAATTCTTTTGATGGGAAGAAATTAGACACACATGAGACGATCACTGAAAGAGCCATGTTCAAATCCGTGTTGCTTACAATGAAATGATCATCATAATCCAGATACATAATTTTCTGTTATATGTGAGGAATATGTGTGGCTGACTTATTTAATAGGTAACTGGTTCCACTGATTCCATAGATTCAGAAGAGAGATTTGCCAGTACCAACTGCTGGTCATCATTACTCTTTTTTCATTGTTCAACCTCCAGACATTAGAGAAGAGTGAAAATTAGACCAGTGCTATTAACACAGTACATGCTTCTAGGAAAAGAGATCAGTGGGAACTGAAAAATTATGTTGTCATTTTTTAGCGTCCTAAAATTATACATTCAGACACTGGAATTTGGGGACTATTTGGTGAATTTTCTATGTTTAAAAACAATGCTTATTCCTTAGGACATAGCACACCTAGATAAGGGTCTTAGTGAACGTTGTCAGGGGCAGGAAATTGTTCAAGTGAGTTCATTTTGCTTTTGATAATTTTAATAAAATTATGCTGTTTAGTCATAGAAAAAAACTGAAAATTAGGGGAAAATTTTTATTTATCTGCTATCTCTAGTTCTAACCAGTATAGAAATTTGGAGATTAGCTGATTAATAGAAATTTTGATAACGATGTATACGTCCCATGTAAAATAGTTATTTTAATGCAGTGATGACCTCTTAGCTAGTTACATACTCTTCAATGTACACAAATGTTGCTGAGAATTTGATACAGTGCCAGTTTTTCTAAGTATTACTGAATAGATGTACCCACCTCGTGTTTCTTAACAAAAGAGCATAGTGCTCCCAATTGCATTTTGAATAATTTCTGTTAAGTTCTGAAGTTACACAGTTTTTAAACACTAGGAAGACTTAACAGTTAATTCTCTGTTTCTCACAAGTAAAACCAACAAGACAAAGTTGTCTAAGTAGCTTCAGTGGTTTTTTGTTTTGTTTTGTTTTGGATTTTTGGCATTATCATCTACCTCTTTTCGATAGCTTAAGAGTCAAAACCTTTTTAAAAAGATCAGTATTAGCTCTAATAGGACTTTGTTGTTATTTTAATTTTTCCCCTAATTCGAGGTGCATGTTACAGCTTGCCATTGTGGTCATTGTGGTTCATTTCATTAAGCTTCTTGTTCTATCTGCTTTCTTGAGACTTGGGAAAGAGTATTTTTCTGAGTGATTGTACTATATTGTTCCAAATATAAGGCCACCCAGAATAGAAGGCAACCTCCAACTAGAAACAGCTCAAATATGGAGAAAGGCTGGGGTCCCAGAGCCCGGCGGGTCTTGCAGTGGTGGCAAGGGTGCCGAGGAATAGGAAGATGCCTGCCCACTCTCCCGGTGAGTGAAGATGAGTCGGCTGCTGCATTTGCTTGTGCATACAGATGGCTTTTGTCGCTAGAGGAAAAGTTACACTGGGCGGGGTGGGGGGAGAGAGTAAATCTGTGCACACGGAAGAAACTTGCTGTGTGTGTCTGAATCTGGGGAGGGAAGCTGGGAGTACAGTCGTTCATCTCCTAATCGGTCAGCGTCAGTGTTTTTTTTTTTTTTTTTTTTTTTCTGAACTTGGGGTTGAAAGTTGAAGAACCGCAAGCACTGGAGAAGAACAAAGGTACCCTGCACCTTTCATGAAAAGGAGTTTAAAAGGTTCATGGCCATGAAAATGAATCGTCTGCAGACCAGCCCAGAAAACTATTCCTTGCCCTTTAAAAGTGCTCGCTGACCCAAGAGGTGATGTGTGCACTATGCAATCCCGTGTCGTTTGGAAACAAGCAACCCGGGAGTTGGGAGTCACATTTCCAATTTTATTAAGATTTTCCTTTTAAATTCCCTGTCTCCTGAGCCAGCCAAGTTACAGTTTAAACTAAACAGGCTTAATGTTATTGTAATAAATTGCAAGGGACTGTTTAAAATCAGTTGTTTCACTAGCATTTCACTCAGCATATTTTAAAAAAAGTTACGTGAAAATGTATTAGTCAACTGAGAGTAGTAGATAATTCTCCAGATATCAGTCACAAAGATATATAGCCTTTTATTTTAGAGTAATTAAATGGGATGTGATAGAATGAAGTGCTTGATTGTGTTATAATCTAGAAAGCGACGGAGCACACATTGGTGTACAACCGTACCAGGCATTTGCTTACCTCTACGACTTTACAATAACCATGTGAAATATGAACCTTGATCTTTCCAGTGACCTAGTCCTTGGCTTACCAAGAAGACCTGAAGTAGAACTTTAATAATCCTTGAATGAGTTTTCCCCACTGTGCAGTTCCGACTTCAGCTACTGTTATTATTTAAAAAAATAAAAGAGTGTTTAAGGGAAGAACAGGACTGTCCTCAAGTTTAAACAATGCCAACTTACCCAAAGGATTTGGTTTAGGGAAACCAGTTATTAATTTTAGAAATTCTTCTAAATCTAAATGCCCTGAAAGATCGAAGGCCCCATGCCCAAGCAAAAGCATGCTAGAATTGATATGCCTATCATCTTGCCAGTTTGGGAGGGGAACATTTGAAACAGAAGGGCTGGGCAGCAGGAGGTTGGAAAGGAAGAGTTGAAAGGAGGGATAGCCAAGAATTACGGCCTGCCCAGTGGGATTACCAGGCAGAGGGCCGACTGCTTTGCGTTGCTGGGTCCTAAATGAGAAGTTCGCAGTGAACTCCGCATTCACCTCAGAGGCCTTTTCAAAACCATTCCTAAGGGTAGTAGCAGGTAGGGAAAGAGAATAGTAGGGGACCAGAGCTATTCAGACAAGAGGAGCTTCCTTTAGAACTGCTTCATTTTGGAAACATTTCATCTCTACAGAGTAAGAGGATGTCCAAGATCTGGTGGTGATGTTGGGGGCTGGGGGATGGTAGGCCCCTTCACCACCTTTAAATTTCTAATAAGTTCCCTTCTATTATTTGTATCGGGCACTATTATGTCCGATTTGATCTGAATTACAAATACAGGAAAACATGGACATTTTTCCCCCAGAAGGTGTTGGGGCTATTATAATTGGCTTTCCTATGTCATCGCCTGCTATTAACGTAATTATTAGTAGCAGTGGAGGACAGAGCTGGAGAGGTCCCCTAAATGTCCTCCTCCACAGCTGCTTCTCCCTGGTGGCTAGTGAGGGTGGCGGCAGGGCCTGATTTGATTGCATAATTCTTTGAGCGTGGAAAAGAACATGGCTCCAATTGGCTTGTGAGGTGGCAAGGACAGCCTTCAGGACAGTGACAAGGGAAGGGGGAAGATACTCCAAATTGCAAAAATGATCATCTTTGTAAAAATCGATGAGAACTGTCAATTTCTCTACAAATAGTATGGTCTGCATAAAACCCATACGTATAACTGTTGCTGCTCTCAGATTTTCCCTCCCATCCCAAAATGCACAACACAGAAGTTCTTCTGTAGGTGCTGGAAAATAAATGTCCCTAATCGCAGTTGTCTTCCATTTATGAAGCCGTCTTCAGGGGCTCCTTCTCAGGGTATTAAGAGTCGTAAGATCAAGGTAAATGGAGCAGTTATTAATCTGTTAGGCATGAAGAAAATATGTAGATTTTTTGGACAGAAACTAAAATCAGGCCCTTTGAGTGTCATGATCTCCATAAAAACAGGTTTGGAAAATTCCCATTTGGCTGCTTTTTCTAGGAGGGTACATAACTGAACTTTTCCTTTTTCCCAGTTCCTGTATGGGTGACTATGAGTCTCGTAGGCCAAGTTAAACATGCCCAAGTGCTGGTTTTTCAGCAATGAAGTCAAAGAGTCACTAAAGTACAAATATGTAATTTGTGGCCATAGTTACTTTTTAAAAAAACAAAAACTAATTCTTCCTTAAAGAAAATGCTGAGTTTGGGTAAATCTCTCTGCCTCCAAGAAGGGTTTTATAAGACACACCGTTTCTCCAATGCAGAAGGTGATGTGTGCGTATTTTCTGAGACTTAGGGAATATAGCATTTGTCTTGCTGAGTGAGCATGTTTAACTCAGCTGCTGAGTAACTCACAAATTTCCTACTCTTGAGTATCTTTAATTAAAAATCATTCTTGAAATGTTCTTAATGGGCATTCCTGAGGGGGCATTGTTCTCTTTGGCAAATCAGAAATGACATCTGGACATGCATAGAGATGGTTCTTGGTTAAGCGTTCTTGCTGGTCAAGCAGCAAGTGTATTCCAGTTAACAGGTTGAGAGCATCTTAGGACAGGCTAGATAAAACTTAAAGCGGCTGATTCTCATTTGGCAGTGCAAATTGAATACTGAATGACATCTATGCAGTTATAAACGACTTTTGTTTTAATAACAAAGTTGTTGATTTTCTACTAAGGGTTCTTTTAGGTTGTCATCAGGGGCTGATGGGAGTAACAGTCCACCCAACTCTCCAGCTAGCTTCAGTGGACATACCACACCTTCTCAGCAGCCTGAACCCGTGGTACATTCTCTTAAGGTAACCAACTGTGTCCAACCGTTTATCCAGATCTTCAGTTGTGTTGTGGCTTGTTCGCTATAGTCTGGTAGTCCTCACAGTCTTGTTTTAACTGTAGATACTATAATTTTTGAAGTATAATTTTTTTTTTGAAACGAGTTTGAGTACTCCTGGTTGAAATCTCTAGTTTTATCATTTTGTTTTGAGTAATGTGATTCATATCAATCTGCATCAAAGTTGAAGTCTGATGTGCATGTATATCTATATGTGTAAACTCTCGTTCTGGGTATTTGATGTGCAGTGTCCGTAGCATGCATGTCTTCAAAAGAGGGAGTCAAGAGTTGGCCAAAATAAGGAAGGATACCCAATTTTTCTTTCTTCATGCAGTTGAAGTACATGGTGCAACCAACTGAAAGAAAATCTTGAACTAAAAACCTCCTCTATTCCTCATTAAATAGAAATTAGGTCTTCAAACTCTAGTTAATGCTCTTCCATAGAGTATTAGAAAATAGAGGGTCTTATTCAGAAAGCTAGTTTTATTTTTGGCTTTTACTTCAGATCCTCCAAGGACTCCAAAAAAAAAAATTTAGCTGAAATTTATTTTCTTTACCAATAGTGAGCTTTCCAATAAATAAGTACCATACGTAAAATTAAAAATATAAATATTATCTAAGAGAAGAAACTGATACAGGCAATAAAAAAAAAATTAGGAAAGTTCACTGAAATTTTATCAATTCCAGGGTATGAATCACTGTCCTTCAAATGATCTGTAATTCCTAACACATAGCCTTGATCAAACCTTTCTGAGCCATAAAGTAGGCAGCGTGCTTCAGTCCCACACTTGCCGTAGGAATTTCACAGCCTCACTAAAATGTTTTTGGTTTTGGAATGATTTATCAGCAGCCTGGAGATGCACTCTTTTGGAATGGGCCACACTTCCTTTGGCATGCATAAAGCAAATAAGCAGATACGAAATTCAAAATATGCATTTGATTTGGTTTTAGCAGGAGACTTAGCTCCTTCAGTCATATTTTGCTGTAACTTCCATGAAATGAGTTGCTCCTCCCAAGCATATACTGCTTGCGGATGAGGAAAGGTAGCAGAACCATGCTGGTGGCCAGCGCAGTCTTGTCTTGGTTGGAATAACTCACCAAGTGAGCAACCGAGAGGAATTCGCGTGGGAAGGCACACCAGAATGAGGGGTGCGGCCCTGTATCCGGGGGGTGCCGATTTATCAACTGACCACCATCTTGCTCTCTGCAGTAGCATTTGGACGCAGTTTAGCGTGAGCAGCACGCTAAACGTGCTGTTACTTGAGCATGAACCAGACGCTAGCTATCTGAAAAGAATCCTAGAAATAAAAAGAGTGGCTTCAATCCTGTAGTGTTAGCATCTGCACATACTCCAGCAACACATTGCTCTGCTTTTCGGGTTGAAAACGGTTTCCACCTGTTGCCTTATTAAATGGCAAGTGTAGTTTGAATCAGATCAGCATAGTGGATAGCACTGCAATCTTTCCCCAATTTTTCACTGCACCTGTGTTCCTATGGCCTAAAAGGAAGGGAAGGGCAAGGGGGAGCTCTTCAATTTTCTCTGAATTTGTTCTCTAATTTTCATATAAAATTTTTATCTCAAGAGAGAAAGATACTATGTTATAATCAGAACATGTTAAGTGTCCTCACTCAGCAGATGGGTAGTACTGAGCAACTGAAGCATAAGGGGAGGCTCTGGAATACAGAATATGTTTGCTTCCATGAGTTAACTGTGTCATGAAACAGAAATATGTGCCTGTGGTAAATGCATCTTAGGGATATCACAATGTAAAGGAAGAAGTGTAGCCACTCACACATTTTGTTTTTAAAAGCCCACAGATCCTAGAGCTGATTTATAACAAAATTTCTCTGTTGTGAAAGAAGTAGAACGATGGCTCAGTTTCTCATCTTCTGATAGATTCCAACCCCCCCTCCCCCAAAAAATCTCTAGGCTTTAAAACAAAAAACACTCTGTGGTTGTGGTTTGGGAGGAAAGTGTTGTAAATCAGTGTGAGAAATTAGCCCACTTGTAACACCACATTTATCTTGCTTTAAAATTCATGCTAACTATTAATTGGAGCTTCATTTAGTAGAAATTAACTGATTTTTGAGGTACACTTCTCTGAGGTGCATTAGAAATTGAATTTGTAGGCAAATGAGCTTGTTCCAGGAGTTTTCTATGAATATTCACTGAGCGTAGTCAGGATTTCCTCTTGAGTGTATAAAGAATGTGAACGGACTCTAATCGGAGTAGCAGGGTGAGGCTTGTTTCCTACCGTGATATCCTCCCTTAAAGTAGTAGTACCTACAGAGTAATAATGGCTAGAGGTTTTGAGTTAATGAGGGAGTAGTTTGTGAATTAGATTATTGCAGGATTGAACTCCAGTAAATATCCATGTAGACTATGAACTTGACATGAAAGTCCCACTTCATGTTTCATTTATTTTGGCTCAGCTGTTCATTGGTGCCAGTTCTCAGGTGACATCTTTAGGTGTGACCATCAGCATTGACCAGGATGACAACAGAACCAAGGAGTTTAGCAATGTCGCAGTTCAGTGGGGATTCTTGGAGGAGCTTTTATGAAAAGTGTTATTTTGGGGGTTTTGTTTTCTTGGGTCTTTTTGCTCTATTGTGCTTTGGCTTATAAGTGGATATAGAGAAAAATAACACTTGAAACCAAAGTTTTCTCCCCTTTTGACCTATAGAAAGTATGGCATGAAAACTTTATAGACCTATTTGAAGAAATACTGTTTTGAATCCATTTAGAGACAACATGGAGAAGTGGAATCATAGGCCTCTAAAATTGCTTAAGAGCATCTCATCCCAACACTTTCTTTGCTCTAATGAAAAATAAAGTGTTGCTCAAATATTTTCACTGTAAGGAGCCAGTTTTTCTCTTTGATATTATCATTTGTATAGGCCTTTTCTAGGCCCTGGGAACATGTCCAGGCAAGAACTGTGATGTCAGTAGCGTCCATTTTCACTCGAGTTCTTATGTACATATTCCTGGGTTCTGACCAGTTTCACCTATCAGTATCTTTTAGTCCTCTTTTCTATAGGCCATGTCTACATATCATCTGGATTATTTGGCAGATCATTAATTATATTGCTTACCTTTACAGTGGAGCGAGAATTTCTCCAAATGGTTGACATAGTCACGTTATCTTGACCCAATTAACTAAATTCATTAATGTCTATGATTAGATACATTCAATTGACTATTAGTGATAAGATTGCTTTCCATGACCATTTGAAAGTCAAGTAGAATTGATCCCTTTTAGATTTCAGATCCACTATTTTAAAAGATTTTGCCATATATTAATCCACTCTGATATGCAGACAGGAGAAAACCAAAGGTTTTACAAAGTGGAGCTCTTTGATGGTTTAATTCATAACTAACAAGTTTTTTTCCATGTGAAATTTGCTTTTCTTTTTCAACAAATCCAGGTCTTGGATGTTCAGGAAACTATAGATCGTCAACAGGGTAAAGAGTATGAAAATGACCTTAGTGAGACAGAAAAAGCTATAGTCAGAGAAATGTGCAATGTAAGTTTAATGTGCTTTATTGTGTATTCTGTGTTGAAAGCTCCATCATAGCTTAGTTACCACTTTATGAATACCTGCTTTTTTAAAATGCTGGCCAAATGCCTTTATATTTTTATGTGAAAATAAAACCAATTTCCCTTGTTTTTATCTTCAGTATATTTTAGGGCAGTTTTATTAATAGTCATAAAATATTCAGGTAAGCGATAATCAGCCAATTCTGGATTCCAGAATGATCTATGAACATTTTTAAAAATTTGTCTAAAATAATTGTGCTAGTTTTGAGAAATAGGTTTCTGTTTCATACTTTTAAGCAGTACCTAAAAATCAGTGTTTAAAAACCTGTGATAAAACACAGCCTTCTTCAGACTTTTATAACCATACTTGGAAAAAAAAAAAATCATGTGATATGGGCACTTCATGTCCTGCAAAGTGTATCTTTACCTTTCAGTGGTGGATAAGAATAGACACATAGAAATCAGAGCAGAACAGAGTTAAAAAAAAAAAAAAATTGACATGCTGTTTTGATGCATATCAATAATGTGATTTGGATTTTATTATTAATCCCTAGCTAAATTTTGAGTAATTTGCATAGGTATATCATTTAATCAAGAATATAATTGGAGTTTGTTAAAAAGCTAAATAGAATATTGTAGGGGAATACATTTGTTAAAAGCAAAAATCAGATTAAGCACTGATTTTAATTGGCTCTATATTGTACTTTTATCCTCATATTCTTTGTCCATTAGGCTATCAAAATTGCTTAGAAATGCTTTTAAGCTATTAGGGCCAGATATTCTCATGTATCTACTTCCTTGAGGTGTTCTTGGAATCCAGTAAATGTTTTAAGTACCCCTGGGCATTTTATATGTGCTGGGGCCACAGTTTTTAGTCTCCTGCTTCTTTGTGTTGTAGTTGTTTTTCTTTTGAAATTCTTTCCAAGTTATTTTTCTTTCCTGCATGTTTTCAAAAGGTCATTGGTTTGAGAAGTCATAATTTCCCCCAATGCACCACTCTTCACACCTTCTGTAGCTTTTCAGCCTGGGTGTCCTTAGCGTTTTCAATTTGAATATTTCAATATTTCCTTCAGATTAAAAAAGTTAAGCCACACACCTTAAAAAAAAAAAAAAGCCTTTTGCTTCTCATCTGTTGACTATGGAATGAGAAAGTTCAGACTTCAGGAATTCTAGAACTAGAAGGGAGCACAGCGATCATTCCGCAGGTGGTTCTCCAAATAGTACAACAGGATCCTTTGTAATTCAGATGGAGTTTCACCACAGCCCCTAAGCAGGCTGGAGAGGAAGCTCTGGATATGATCCCCACATTTGCATTTTATGTTTGAAGAAGCTAAAATCCCAAAATAAAGTTGCTTGCTCGAATTGTTCTCTAATGAACAGTAAGTCAGGACTATACCCAGATGTCCTCGGGGTAAATCTGGGGACTTCCATTTTCTTTCCCCAAGAATGAAAAGCAATGCATCTTCCAGAAATGTGTGAAGTTCTGTAAAAATACAAGTCAGGACTGCTTGTTTTCTTGCCTTTTTGTTTTAGATATAAGACTTCTGGACATTAGAAAATTCATTTCTTAGTCACAGAAGAAACGTATTAATGGACTGGGTCTCAATTAGTTCGTGTTGATCTTTTTGTAGGCCTATATTTCCAAAAATGCTTCAAGAGACCATATGCAGTGGCAGTGGTGTTTTTCCCTGTAGAAGGTATTTTCAGGAAGCCAAAGCTTGCCCTCCTTGTTTGCCTTTAGCAGTTCTTGAGGGCTTCTTGTCTACTTTTGTCTTTGATTCCCAAAATTTGAGGAAAACATGCAAGCCAACACCAATCTGATGATTAGCACTCTTACATTTGGAAACTTATTAAAAGCTAAGAGAAAAAGATGTTGATTTAAAATATTTTTGTCACCATTACAAATTATTTGAACATCGAACACACATAGTCCATACTGGAGAATAAAGGGAAAAGCAGATTTGAGAAATTTTCACAGATAATTTCTTAGAAACAAGCTAAGGTTGTTAAACCTAGTAGAGGAACTATGTGCTTTTATGATAATGTCACAGAAATGGAAAGTTTTCTTATAATGTGAGATCAGTTCGAAGACTCAGAACTTAGGATAGTAAGTTTTGCCTGTTTCTGGTGTTCCTCCTGGAGCTCAGTTGTCGACATCTATACAAGGAGTCACAGGAAGTGACTGTTAACATCATGTTGATTAGTAAGAGGTGCTTTTATTCCCTTCCCAAATTGTGCCACAAAAATAGATTTACAGTTTCTTAAAGTGCAGTGTATTTCTTTTTGTAATAATGGTATTTTTTTTTTTTTTTAGGTCTGTTTGGTTCTTGTAAATTCCCTGAGAACAGTTGAAATATTTGACTGGTGGACTCAGACACCCACCTATTCTTTTAGTTAACAAGTCACTACTCTGTGTCTACCTTAGTATCACTGGCTCGTTTCAGAGTTCTGCCTTCTTGGACTCTTTCACCACATAGTAATTTCAGGGTTAAGGCCCATGGTATCCTACAATGGAATACTTGGAGAGTGCTTGCACTTTGGAGTTGTAACCATCTAATGCTTTGTGTCAGTGCTCCTGGAGGTCTTTGGCTTAGCAGCAGAGGATAGATTCAGACATTCAAAGTATTCTGGTCAGCTGTATTTGTATATACCATGTAAGGGCTAGAAAGGGTAAGTCCATAGCATCCCTTGGCTCCCTGATTCAGTGTTTGCACCTTTTCACTGTCTATTAAGAAATGAGACTTTCCCTAACTCCCTTGTGGGCAGCTTGAGCCCTCCATTGCTAGATCATTCCTTTCCTACTATTTAAAGACCATTAGTACACTCTTCTTCAAATAGGACAGGTCATTTCTGCCACATAGTTGTGTCCACAAGAAGATGAATGGCTTCGTTGGCTTAGGAGTGAAGGTAGACAGAACCTTATATTCTTATGTATAACAATGAATAGTATTGGGTGACCCTAGAGTATCTGCTGTATTTAAATAAATGCAAAAAAAAAAAGTATCAATAATGAACCAACTGGTGTATTCATGTTAGAGCTATGTAAATTTTTAGGCAAAGAATCAAAATAATCTTTATAGTGAATCATCCTGAGGAGGGTAATGACTTAATCGGGGGAAGGAGGGTGCATTTTCCAATTAGCATTAGCATATTGGCATATCATTGGTGAATTCCGTGGTTTTACTTTATATTCTTAATCTCATCTTTTGCTATTGTCCCTCTAAAATGACCCAATTTTTGCTATATTGTATCTACTTATGGATTCTTGAATGTATTAATATTTTTCCTGCATTTGGATGTTCTCTGCTTAATCTGAGATTTTATACTATTTGGTAGCTAAGATTTATGACTGAGGGTCCCCCACTCTATTGGGAAAGCCAGGGAAATTTACTAGTGGCCCTAAAGCTAGTAGTTCAGGGCTTAAATAGCTCAAGAACAAAAATTCCTTCCTTTTCCTTAGTGGATTAAACATTGTGGTATCCCTGGTTCAAGATGTAGGATATAGAAACCAGGATGATCTTGCTCATGTGTTCTTAATTCTGGCTATACAGAATTATATTAGGAGCTTTAAAAAAAAAAAAAATACAGATGACGATGCCTCCCCTCTACCAGTGCAGTCAGTCTGCGAGTGGGAGTTACTGTGTAAGCTTCAAGTGCACAGTGTACAGCTGGAGTTGAAGACCACTCATGAACTAGAGTAAGTTGGCACATCTTTCTTGAATTTTGACGCTGATTGCTGACAAAGCCTACTAGTTCCCTCTACTGTGCAGCTCTTCTGAGTTAGAAACTTCCATCACATTTCACTGTGTTTGAGCTCATTCATGGAGGTATTTTGTCTCGTCTTCACATTCCTCTTTGCCCCTTCATAGATCCCCCTTTAAAAACCACAAATCTCTTTGTGGATGGGGCAATTAAGACGCTTATTTTTATTTACTTATGTATTTTACTTTTCTTAAGGTTGTGTGGAGGAAACTTGGAGATGCTGCAGGTTCCTGTCCTGGAATTAGGCAACATTTGTCTGGAAACCAGTACAAAGGACCAATGTGAAAGGCACTCTTTCAAACAAGATATCACCACTGCCAGAGAGAGAAAAGAAGAAAAAAAAACCTGGACTCATTGAATAACCTGGAGTGATTGTGTATTGCATATATTTTCCCTCTAAAACCTTTAGTATTACTGATGCTGTATTTCATGTCTCTCATTTCCATGTCCACAACAGCTTTGAAAAATCACCATTTGGGTACCACTATTTTCATTAGAACTAAAATGTTTTTGACTCCTCAGATCTAAGCTTGTCACTGGGAAACCTGCATGATTGGAAAAATCCAGTAGGGCCTCAATAGGTTTGAAGGAGTTGACTCATTGCACAGAATGGTGGGACTTTTCTAGCATGCTGTGTTGAGGAAGAGGGGTCTTCCAGCTTTCCAAGTTTGGGAGTTGGGCACCTACTTCTTATAGTCAACAAATTACGAATTCCTGATGCATAGTGAATTTGGATATAAGATAAGCTTAGGTTTCTGGGATTTTGTTTTGACTGTTGAGGTGCTAAAAATACCACATAAATTCTCTTTACCAGCTAAAAGGGTAGCAAGACTTTGTAGAGTGCTTATCAGAGAGTACCATTTATTTCAAGTGATCAAGATAAATATAGCTTTTCTTTTAATCTTGCTATATTCATGAAGACACATCGTGGGGACATGCCAACTTCCATATTCATTCAGTGTATCCATTGATGTTATTAATTCCAGTTAAAGAACAAGCAAACATAATTTTTCTAAGTGTTTCCAGCTGTGAGATGTCAATTTCTACAATTTAGTTTCTAGATCTGTTATATTTAATAAACTTTATGTAAACTTTAAAATATTGCACTGCATTTATGAAAAAAGCTTTCTTTGCCTACAGCAGCTAACGTTTTATGAAACTGACGCATGTCCTTCATTGTTGAGGCTAAAAGCTCTTCAGATTGCTTGAGGTTTGAAAAAGAGGTGTGCTAGCTTTGCTTAGTTTATTTTTGGTATATATATACATACTAGACTGTATCGGAAATGCTATGATAGGTATTTTGTGTTTTTTTTCAAATGTAATGATAGTTTCTTGTATGAATGTGCAAGAGGCCTGTGCCAGAATGCTAAGTTTTTATTGTAGTTTAAAATTATAAAAGTAGGAATGCAACAATTCCCAGTTTTTAGATTTCTTCTAAATTACTCAGATTGGATTCATAGCAGATATTCATCGTTGTTGTTTTTAAATGGACTCATTACAGTGTGTTATTGGTGAAAGAACGTAAAGGACTTTCGTTATACTTTTTAAAATGTTACTGTGATGAAAAAACAGCCCTCTGTTTTCAGAAAATATTTATGAATTAATTTACTATAGAATTATCTCTAATTATTGTAACTGGCTTACCAGTTAAGCTTATCTTTCTTTTTGAAATGTTATATTATTACTCTGTAAAAGAAAAGTGCTTGCTATATTTACACCTTCTCTTGTAGAAAAGCTTTCATCCTTAAATTGTTGTATTCCTACGCTCTGAAGACATTTAAACCAAGTTTTTGTGCCTGCAGTAGATGCTGCAGAAGCTAATACAAGGAACAGTGGTCTTTTGACAAAATACTTGTGTAAATTTTGATACTGTATTAAAACTATTTTTTTAAAGTTCTGCATAAAATTGAGTATCAAGTATATGTGTTCATCTTAGCAATGGTAATAAATTATTTAATCTCAGTGTTTTTCCTACAGTGTGTAGATTTCTAATAGTCACTAAGTAGCACAGTGTTTCTGGATGGTGGTATTAATGATGGTAATACAGATGATTATCTTAAATATAAAACAAAGGACTCTTTCAAAGTATGCTAATGAGGGATTTAATATTCATGTTACTCAATTCACACCATTCTGTTATAATGCAGTTAAAAATTGAGAATCGTATCTAAGAATATTTAAAAATCAGTTATAAAATTTTCACTTGTTATAATTCATACACATTAAAATTAATTACCGTTAGGGGGCGCCTGGGTGGCTCAGTTGGTTAAGCGACTGCCTTTGGCCCGGGTCATGATCCTGGAGTCCTGGGATCGAGTCCCGCATCGGGCTCCCTGCTCGGCGAGGAGTCCGCTTCTCCCTCTCCCACTGTCCCCTCTCTATGTACTCTCTCTCATATTCTCTCAAATAAATAAAAATCTTTAAAAAAAAATTACCGTTAAAGCAGTCAATAAGAGGAAATATACTAGGGAGAAATACTGCAGAGTGGAAAACTTGTCCTCTATACTTAACATATACACATATGGCCAAGACATAAATTGGCAAATGCACACATACACATGCTCAGATAGAGAACACACCTATTTCTGGGAAACCACTAAGACAACAGGAATAAGGCTTCCTACACTGAGCATTAGCCTCAACTTTGAGTCCATGGCCTGAATCGTGCTATTACCTAACATGTTTATCAATAAAAATATGTGGCATCATTCTCTTATGGGACCAGTTTATGATCTCCTTTTCTCTGGAACAGAGGTTAATTTATGCATCTTGGCAGAATATTTTTACCAGCCTTGAAGCTGACAGACTGACAATCATAATCTAAGCTTTTCAAATAAATGCCTTTTAAGTTTCTAGCACATGCTCAAGGCATAATAGAAAATTCAGATAGGATGTGACATCCAGTAATACATCATTGGATGTGAGCGTGTCATGCATCACATTGGCTGGAGCCAACAGAAAGTATGCTTTATTAAGTACAGCACTGAATAAAGGCTCTTTGGCTTTAGCAAAGCAGACTTTGGGCCAGCAAGTTCAGCATTCACTCTATAATAAGCTCTGTGAGTTCAAACAACCTAACCTTGCTGAGCCTGTGTCCTGACATGCTGAAAGGAGAGAACATCTATCTCATTGCCTCGTCTTAAGGTTCCTTAGAGTCTCCACCGTTCCAAAGCTCATGGTCTTGACAGTCCACAAGGAACAATAAGTCTTCAAAGACATAGGAGCCTAGACCCATGAGCTGTGGCGATGTCATACCATTAGGCTAGGAGAAGGAACCACATCAACACAAAAGGTCTATTAACCACATAAAGAGATTCTAGCTGCACAGTTCAACTTTCAAGCTGTTTTCTGTAGATCATCCAGCCTATATACCCTCAGGCCTTATCCTGGCCAATCCCAGATGGTAATGGTGGAAATGGAGAGAAAAAAAAGGGATAATGGTCTTGATTCTCATAGGAACAACATGTTTGGGAAAAACAAAATTTCCACAACTATTTAATTCTGTAATTTTCCTATCACTGAAAACATTTGAGAATAAAGACATTCACATAAAAATGGTAAAATATCTGTGCTAGCTCCCTCCTCTTGCCTTAAGCTCCAAACATGGTAGAAGAGCTATTTAATTTATAATCCCACTAGAACATAATAGTGAACCAGCTCTGTGAACCAGCAATTAAGGTAAATTCTTGAGAAATGGAAGACAGAGTATCTGGTTGAAACAATGGCTTCAATCGTTCAAAGCACGTGATGGAGGGTATTGTTGACAACAGAACAGCTGCAAGGGTACTCCAAATCAGGCAGAATTTGAACCTGCATTGCATGGGCTTCTGGGGCAACTGACGGTAGTTAAACATTTTAACTCCTGCATATAATCTCTCCCTCCTTGGGTCAGACAGAGAACAAAGGATAATTTCTCCTAGGCCAGAGCAGAGAGTAAGGATACTTGAATTGGAGGCACAGGGCAAAGTCTTCCACTTTTTAAATACCCAGAGGAAAAAGGACCCTCTGTGCCCAGGCCATTAGTGCTGACACAGCCTACCTAGAAGTTTGCCCCACCATGCCCCTTACACCTAGCATCAGGTAGCTCCCAAACACAGCATCCCGACCCATTTCTTCCAGCAAGTTGTGTGGTAAACACGGCAGGTTAATGAGGAAATATGCCTACTAAGATGGGTATACAACCAAGTATCACCCAACATTGGAGGGAAGCCATGACTATGAATCAGAAGCACACAACTTAATGGATCCAAGGAAAAGAATTAAAATTAAGAGATTTTCAGAAGTATGACCAGTATTCTCAAAGAGGATAAATATTGCATTCATTATAAAGAATTTCACATCTTGAGAATAAAATGTTAGTGTGAAAAACTCAATACATTGGCCATATAGCAGAAAGGACACTGCTGAGAGCAATTTAGCAGGCTTGAAGCCGAGAAATTTTGCCAGAATTTAGCGGAAGATTTTTAAAAGTCTGAAAGTTAAGAGAAATGTCTACTATTGTTCCCATGGTGCTTTCCCTTACTTCCTGTACCATCTTCCTTCATTCTTCCATCCTTCTCTTCATAGTTGTTTTTTTAATTGCCTTATTTTAAGTTTTAATGTCAAAGGCTATCTCAAAACCCCATGTTTTTTAAAACACACGTGCAGTACAGTCTCATTTCACTGAGATTCAAGACTGTTGAATCACAGATCTGTACCTCTGAAACAAATAATGCAATATATGTTAAAAAAAAAAAAAAAAGATAGCAGGAGGGGAGAACGAAGGGGGGGAAATCGGAGGGGGAGACGAACCATGAGAGACGATGGACCCTGAGAAACAAACTGAGGGTTCTAGAGGGGAGTGGGGTGGGGGGATGGATTAGCCTGGTGACGGGTATTAAAGAGGGCACGTTCTGCGTGGAGCACTGGGTGTTATGTACAAACAATGAATCATGGAACACTACATCGAAAACTAATGATGTAATGTATGGTGATTAACAATAAAAAATTTGAAAAAAAACAACCAAACAAAAAGAATGTCCCTTTAAAACACAAGATCCTCTCATTTTTACAATAGGGTTTTTCCATAGTTTTCATGCCCAAGTTATAATTCCATCTGGTCTCATTACCAAGAAGAATTTCCCTTTCCCATCATAGGACCCTTAGTTTTCTAGAACCTGTCCTGAAGCGATAGCATACAATATACCTCATAATGTCCATGGCAACAGATTCATATGCCAACCAGGAATGCAATTTATAGAAGCAGAAAGTGTCTGAAATTGGCCTTTGATTCTATGGACTCATTGTTGGGTTTGGGCCAAGCTGCATGATCTTACCATGGCATTTCAGATAGGCCTTATTAAAAAAAAAAAAATCTGTTTTCCCTTTGTAGCAATCTAGCTTAGGTGGGAATGGGTTTCTGACAGACCAAGTAACAGTCTCTAGGGTTTGTTTGTTTTCTTTTTAACCATCACCATTTCCCAGGCTCAGTCTAGTCCTTGTATTAAAAAGATACACACACACGTGCGCGCGCACGGACACATTGATTGGTTACCCAGGATTCATTTTTCTTTTCCTAAGAAAGCCTTCCTTTGCTTTAGAAACATACCCCTCCTCTACACTGTTCAAGTAAATCCAGAGAAGCAATTTCCAGTTCCGGAGCTGAATCTTGATTAATGCCTAGACTCAAAGCTGGTCTTGGTAATCTCATTCTACATGTTAATAATTGGCTCAAGAAGCCAGTCTTAAGCCAATCAACACATGGCATTCCTATAGTCCATTTGTGGCAATAAGACCTAAAAAGGCTCATTTCAATTTAAACTCTTAGAAGAAATTTTATTGGGTGGGTAGGGGAGAGGTTTTTTCCTGTCTAGTGGTGGATGTGCTAAGAGTTTTCTGTTGCCTGAAATCATGTGGGCTATCATTAGAAAAGTCATCCTGAAGAGAAAGCCTACACGAAAATGTAGAGCCAAGAGAATAGTGGAGAAAGGTGGCTGAAACACCCATTATTGTCTGGAGTCCACTCTGATTCCGGACTCTCAAATAGATTCATTCATTCATTTTTCTATATTGTCTTAAACTAGTTTGATTTAGTATTCTGTTACAGACTGCCCAAAATCTTATTCAATAAAATTGTATACTGTATATGCCATGACTTGGATATATGGTCTAATACAGCAAATTGGAGGATACAACAATAGCTTAGTTTTATTGAAATAAACAGAGTGTGTGTAAACAAGCGATTCCTTTACTGTCACAAAAAAAAAGAGGTTCTATATTCTCTTTATGTGATAGAATAAAAAGAAACTAGCAAGTAGGGCTTCACAGCCTTCCTCATTCCTCAGCCTTATTTTCCATCTCTTTTGCCACTCTTCTCCTGACCCCTGCCATCCTCCAATCCATCTGGGAAACAAGGTAAAAACAGTGCTAAGGCAAAATCTCAATAGTAAGGGAAGACTGCACAGCCTTCTTCTATATCATGACTTTTGTGATATGCCTGATCATCGTCTATTTGGTGAAGGTATCCATACATAGTACTCAGCTTATCCCCTAATAGGAGCAGCCTGGTTTACACAACAAGGGAAAGCTTGAGTTAGGCCAGATACAGTGTCCACACAAACCAAGACACATTTATAACCCTCACTCAGAGGAAAGAGAGTCAATATAATCAATCTCCCGATCCCTCACCAGTTGGGAACTCAGGTGGATGGAACTCAGATTCTTTTGGTAGTTGCCTTGAGCATCATTTAGAACACACTGGATGTGGTGTAAGTCCATTAGCCAAGTCAGTGTATTTCAAGGGTAATCTGGTATCTTTGGGCAATATGCCTTCCCATCCAGCTGCTATGGTGGACATTTTTTCTATAT